TGATGCTGATTGACTTTTGCTTCGTTTATATTTGGAAAGGGGGTGGCATTAGTGTCCAAAAAGAACGTGTTGACAGAGTTTCTAGAACTTCTCCGTTGGTAAAACGAGCTTTCAACCTCGACTATATAGGCGGAGAGGCGAATCACAGTCTGGAGCATTTTATCCTTCACGTCGGCACAGTCTACGACGCTTGGAAGAGCTCGCGTGACCGATATTATTCGCCATATTTTGCTCTCTTCCAATCAAGCGGTACCGGAAAATCAAAACTCTTTAATAGTTTAACCGATTCATACTGGGTGTCTTATGTCAGTTTAGCAACAGACAAAGCATATCCGCAGACTCCTGGTCTAAAACAAAATCTTTTATCGACCTCGGCCAAAAATTTAGACCTTTCATATTACTTCTCTTATTTTTGTGCTGTGCTTCAATCATGGAACAAAGCGCTGAAAGAAAATCCCGAAGGTTATCAATCCTGGTCAAAAAAATGGTTTAATGATGAGAAAGTTGTCGATGAAAGTATTATAGAAAAACACAAGAGCCAAGTTGCAGAATTTGGCTCAGAAGACGATTTCGAAAAATATGCCGGAGAGCTATTAGATGCAATGGTTGATGAAACACAGTTTCCATTACTTATCATCTTTGATGAAGCTCGTGCGATGGTTGCAACAGGCGACTTTCAGTTTATTCGTCGAGCGCTCCGCTATTTTACAAATGGTATTGTGGCAGTATTTGCTGACACCATGTCGAGTTTGTGTAATTTTTCTCCATTGGCAGAAGCGGATCCATCTTTCCGACCTCGCACATACATGGAACTTTTCCCTCCCTTTTATCAGCTGTGCACCTTTGATTTATTTGCCCGCCAGAAAAACTACCTGGATTGTAAGATATGGGAATATGGAAGGGTCATGTGGGCGGCTTTCAGGTCATGTGGTATGACTGACAGGGATCTTGTTACTTTTGCTCAATCGAAATTACTTGGCGGCTACGAACAGATGGAGACACTCCCAACAATAACACCACAAATGGCAATAGCCATACTTTCATCATTTGCAAGCATTGAAATCACACCCTCTTCTTCCCTGGCAAAGCAAGTTGTTGCTGGTAACATGGCGATTTGTCTTCACGTATCTCATGACCGATCTAGCATAATGGCACGATACCCATCGGATCCTGTTCTGGCTGAAGCAGCGGCAAAATTGGTGCAAGATACATTCAATCACGAAAAGCGTATGCAAATGCTAAGAATATTGGCAAACAGCCTTGCTAACGGTTTAGTAGAACGAGGGAAGAGGGGTGAGCTGATTGGTTCGTTGATAATTGGATTGGCAATGCAAAGATGCCAAAAGTCTCACTTTCAGAAAAGGATATCTTTTCGATATTCTCAGGCAGTTTCTTTAGAGACTTTTTTGAATGTGTTCATTGATATTGATGAGGAAAGTTCGGATACCAGGCTCGAAAATGTCTATGTAAAGTTTTCACATGCATGGAAAATCAGTGGAGGATCAAACCAGCAGCTATCTAAGACGTTATTGAAAGCTGGATGGGATCGATGTTGTTACTTTCTGTGCGAAGAAAACCAGGAAGCTGTTGATGTCATCATTCCGACATCGCGTAATGCGAACGGTTATGAGGTAAGCAGTGTTGTGTTTAATCCATCTATTATAGCGGCAGCTCGTGCTAACAGAAAAATCTTATTCAGGATGGTCCCCCTTTGCTTATCCAAATCAAAAATCGATCTGGGAGGGGTGCAATCAGAGACGCATTTTTAAAACTTGGTTCTGCAAGACTCGATGCAATCAAGCCCGAGTCAGGTGATGTGATGTTTGTCGGATTATTGCTTTCATTTGGAGCAAAAATGGCCAAGTCAGAAAGGTATGTCCACTCATTTGAATTGGTTATAAATCTATCACCATCTAATTTTTATTGGATAGGATTTCTTTTAACACGGGATCGAAAAAGAGGAAAGTCGGACAAATGTGAGTTTTCTCCCATTATTGCTGTTAAAAGACAACTTTTCGTTCCCCGCTAATGCTTGAAATTTTTAAGGTATTCTGTTGATGAGGAAGATTTCGAATCTCTGCGCTATGGCGTCATTTACGGTGTATATGGAAGCCGATGTTTTCAGAACCTATTTGAGATTGTTAAAGAGAATGATGAGATAGCAGCAGCTATCAGCGAGATCTTAGATGCGTTCCCCGACCCAATGAAGAAAGAACTTCCATCTCTGTTGCAAGATGACGAATGCTATTGCACTTACAACAGTGAGTTTCTTATCACAACTACCTTGATCCAAAACCTAGCTGAGAAGGAATAAGTGGATTCTGATGGGATTATTAGTGTTATGGGAGTAGTATAGCGGAGAATACGTGCTTATAATGTGTCTTGTAAAACCGCACACTGAAACCCACCAGGTGGTTATGATATGCAATGTAAGACAGAACATTTAAACAAAAGCGTTTTGTTGTACTATGTGAACTTCTCCCTCTCATGCTTCGACTGCACAGATGACATGTTTCAGAAGTATAAAGAACCAAACGAAAAATGTAACTGTCAACCTCGTAATAAAATTTATATATAGGAATACCCGTATATGGAAAATTATAATTATAATAGTTCAACTGAATATGAAAAAGCCATGCGTTTCTTGGAGGTAGGTTGCAATTGCGGTTGCTCAAAAAAGATTTCGAGAGAAGGGTTTGCCGAATTACGTGAGGCGTTTCAAGCTCTCTCTAGATCTGAACAAGATATATTTTTAATGGCCCAGCTAAAAGCAATGAATGGTGGAGAAATAACTGCCAGCCGACGTCTTAAAAAGAAAACGCGTGCTAATAAAAGAACTTTTTATTATTGAGATCGCAATACGCCACTTTGTCAGAAAACGTATCTTAATATGTTAGGAATCGGTCGCACTCGCTTCGAAAACGTCAGAAACCATCTGGCAACGAATGGTATAATACCGCGTGTTCATGGTAATATCAAACGAATGCCGCGATGAAAAACTAAAGTAACCATTGATATAACCGTTGCTACCGCGGTGAAGAATTTTCTCGAAAACTATGCTGAAACCAATGGATTACCAAGTCCTGGTAGAAATATCAATCGCATTACTCAATCGCTTACACTTTTACCAGCCGAAACGAGTTATAAATCAGTCTATCATAATTTTATTGCAGGTCTCGAAAATGATAGCACGCTGAAATTGTTAAAATATGACGCATTTCGCAAGTTATGGCACCAATTAACGCCCTATATTCAAATCATGAGTCCAAGAACAGATTTATGTGACACATGTCAACATTTTCGGAATAGCTTACAGTATAATGCTCGCAAGGAAGAAGAAGCGAAAGATTTACTGAAAAAATTCAAAGAACATCTAGTTAAAGCTAAATTAGAGAGAAATTATTACAACAAAAATACGAAATTAGCAGAACAACAGCGGAAATTGGTAAATGAGCATTTTATAACAAGAGGTAAAACTGATTATTGTAGCGTTGACGCGACTGCGCATTACAGTTACGATTGAGCGCAAAACGTTCACGTACCCCATTCCGATCAACAGATAAGTAAGATTTACTATCTCAGTCCGCGTAAAGTGCATTTACTTGGTATTCAAGATGAAGCGGTACGCAAACAAATTAATTATGTTCTTGATGAAGACGAAATTATTGGCAAAGGTCCTAATGGTACACTGAGCATGGTATTCGATGGGATTAAGCGATTGAATAAAGGCGAAAAACATTCAAAGATTACTTGTGACAATGCGGGTGGTCAAAATAAAAATAATGCTACCACTTGATTTTATCTGTATTTAATAATTTACGGTTATTATGAAAGTATCGAATTAAATTTCATGATACCTGGACATACTAAATTCAAGTGTGATGGTAGTTTCGGATTGATTAAAAAGCTTTATCGAAAAACGACGGTAGATTGTGTAGATCATATTGCTGAGGTTGTGAAAAGATCGAGCACAGCGGATTAAACAAAGCTCAACGTTATGACAAGGGAAAAGGCTTTCAATATTTGGATCTTAATTCTGTGTTGGATATTTTCTTCAAGAAATTGAGTGGTCTACAAAAATTTTCTTTTTGAAGCAGCTCGACCTGGAATTGTCAAAGCTCAAATGGTTGCAAATAGTGCTTATATTGAATTTAATTTATTGAAAACTAGGAAAACAAGTGTCTCTGAAATTACCAAAGAAATTAAATCCTTTTCCATCCTAGTATTAACCCCTTCTCCTTTGGATTACAAAAGACAAGAATATCTTTATCATAATATTCGCCCATTTGTTAGAGATGAATTCAAAGACATAAGTTGTCCCAAACC